CAAAGCATAGATTATATTTGTATGGATACATATTTATGCAAATGTACCCACACACACCAGTTTCATACACTGCAATGGCCATTGACTCATCAAATCTTGAAATTCACAGCCATCTGTGGCTGATACTTACCTAAAATAGAAAACATTTAAAGACTATAGTTTTTCAAAGAATTTTGACAAATTAGCTTTTCAACAGTTTGCAAACCGTTTTCTCCATATTTTTTGTTGTTCAACAGCAGCTTTTAATTGCGTAAAGTTCTTGAAATCATATCCATATAACCAAAAGGAAGGGTCTGGTCACATGTGAAGTTAATTTATTTTCATACTTTCTTCTTTCCTTCTATAAGAAGATTGCTGAATGATCCTACATGCAAGGCATGTATTCTCATGAAATTTTATTTGAAGCTACAAACTATTAAGAAACTGAGAAGTGAAACTTCTGTTTTTGCTATCTTTTCTACTTTTTGACACTGAATCCATGTAATATTTGGAAGCTCTGTGAAGTCTACCTGGTTGCAAATGCTCCAGGCAAATGCTTTAAAATAAATTCATGAATAAACTCAGTATTTCTCTTTCATTTTAGAGGCATCAAGAAAGACCATGTAAGATGCAAAGCTAAAATTTGTCAGAAGAGATGCAGCCACGGTTTGAGCAGAAGAGCTGTACAGCCACACCACGGATGCAACAGCAAATATCACACCAGTAGGACTAATAAGGGAACCAAAGCACGAGTGACTGACACTTTGAATCGGGTCCTTTTCCAATTTTAACATTCTCCTATCTCAGGTCTGATTCCACAGAAGCAATTTGAATTGCTAACTGAACTAATCATGTCCCCAAATCAGGCTATTTTCTTTGGCAGTGACAAACAATTGTTCAATGCATGTAAATTTCTACAGAGCTGTGTTAAATATTTATCTACTATTTGTAAACTCATTAAATATTTAGTGTTATTGAACTGCAGATGGCACATATATATAATCCCTCACTAGGATAGTCAAGGATAACAAAAATGTAATATATTTTCGCATTTCCCTAAATACAGCATATGCTTGTGATTTCCCTTGAAGAGTGACAGTTGTCATGGTTCTGTAGAATACTTAAGTTAACCTGTGCACTTTCCTTCCTTTCTGTTAGCACAATGGAAATAAAACAGAAACAAAGTAAGTGGAAATAAGGCCTCTGTGAGTTTTATGTTAATTCTCAAGGCAATACAATTAAGTCGTGGAGTAGTCAAGATTAAAATTGAAACATGATTCCAGCTGGTCCAGTACTCTTTCTTAAAATAAACATCATGACGGATGCTGGGGTGGAGGGAGCAGATTAAACTGAGTTGAGTTTAGTAACAGCATACTAAGTAATAACTTGTC